GTGTGTGTGTGTGTGTGTGTGTGTGTGGGTAAGTTGCACGTTTGTGTTTACAGAAATCGAGCCCGAAATCAAAAATAGCTAAGAAAATGCGTTGTCACTATGAGCAAGTGTAACGAATTTTCTTTCAGATAACTCACCACAGTAATTTGATACACGTTATTTTCACTCAGACAAATGAGATTCTTGAGAACAGAGATGTTCAACCGTTTCCATTAATTATATATTTTTGTTAGTTACATGTTGGTGTTTACATAAGTCGAAAAAAGCAAATTTTACTGTGTTGAATTCGAACGATTCCAACCAGCCCCGAGATTTGTCAGATTTGTTGGGCAGCGAGTTGCTAATTTTAGAACCGTGGGAACTGCAATTTTAACCCAGCAACTTTCAGTATTTTTGTCTTTGTTTTCAACATTACTTACTGAAATATTTGTTGTTTACCAAATAAAGGTGGTTTGTGTCCTGCAAGAAAATAACAGATCCATGCTTGAGGTCTATCAAATTAAAAAACGCAAGAAATGAACAACACATTTTCTTGTTTACATTTTAAGATCACGTACGTTTATACATTTTTATATTAAATGAAAAGCTGACATTTGACCAGTCCGACAAGACTTTACACTCTAATAAAGTATCCAACTTGATCATAAAAACCACGTAAATCGCTAACAGATATCTCTTGAAGCGCACGGTAAATAGCTATATCGATATTAAATCTGAGGAGATCACGGTATTCATACCTATACATAAACACAGTTTTCATTTTGTTGAAAACTAATTCAAAGTGGGTAAGCTTCGGTGAATATACTGGAAGATATACCAGAGTAACTCCAAAACTGTCCAACCACTCAGCTAATGCTTGTCCTCCATCGAAACGATGCAAAGCGACAATATCGACCATAATCAGGCCCGTAACCAGGGGGGTGCACGGGGTGCGTTCGCACCTCCCCACAGGCCCCAAAGGTCCGCATTTTGATACTCAATATCCCAGTTAAGAAGTGCAGTCGGTTAAACTGAAGTCTAAAACTTAACAGTGATACTTAAACAAAATCAAAGAATGGAAAAAA